TTAATATACAGAAGAGATAATTTATTATATTTTCCCCTAAACCTTCACATTTATCTTCTCTTTCCTTTCTCTTTCTATTGGCAACATCACCTTTCAGTCTTCTCACAAAATTCAGCATTTGGGTCTTATCTTTGAACCATCTGTTTCTTCTACAGTTCATGTTTTTGCTCTAGTTAAACTCTGTCTGCTCTTTATAATATTTCCAAAATTTGTCTCTTTTTAACTCTATCAGTTCTAGCAAATTCAGACCTAATTCAACTTCATGTTGATCTTGCCAGTCTTTCTCTTCGCCCCCTCTGTGAAAAATTTCTCACCAACTCTCCTGCAGGGAGCAATTTGCTTTTTATTTACATAAAGCACCCAGCACATATTAGATATGTCATAAATAATAAAACAATTTATTAATAATAAAACAATAAAAGATGATGATAAAAATACTCCTGATTAATCAGGCTGTAAAGGTTTTTTTTATAAAAAAAATAGAAGTAATGATAACTGCTGCATTTGGCAAGGATTGTTTTAAAAGAGTTTTTGTTAGGTATCTCTGACTTACGGTGACCCTATGAATGAAAGTCCTCCAAAATGTCCTGATAGCTTCATTCAGCTCTCCCAAGTTCAAGGCTATGGCTTCCTTTATGAACTTGATCCATCTCATATTTGCTTTTCCCTTCTGTCTTCTGCTTTCAACTTTCCTCAGAATGACAGCCTCAGTTTGGTCATTTTTGCTTCTAGGGAAAGTTCTGTCTTGATTTGATCCAGGATCAACTTCTCCTGTTGGTCCAGGGAATTCACAAAGCTCTTCTCCAACTGTGTTTTGAACACATCAATTTTCTTCCTGTCACCTATTATTATTATTATTATTTTGCTGTCCAGCTTTCATACTCATACACTATGATTGAGAATACAATAGTTTAGATGATCTTGACCTTGGTCTCCAGTGAGGCATTCTTACATTTGATCTTTTCCAGTTCATTCATTGCACCCTGCCAATTATCAGCCTTCCTTGAATTTCTTTGCTGAAGTTTCTGATGACTGAGTTGAGATATGTGAAATCTTTCACAATTTTGATTTCTTGATTATTAACAGTAAAGTTCTATACTTCTTCTGTGAACATGATTTTTGTTTTCTTAATATTCAGCTGGAATCTTACTTTTGTACTTGCTTTTTCACTTTCACCAGGAGTTTTTTTTTTTAAAAAGAGGCATTCCTCTTTGTCTAACGCAGAAGAGGTATCTCTTCTTAGGCAAGGTGTTAGGGCATATGGTAGTTTCTCAGCTTCAGGGATTTCTGAAGAAAACAGATTTTCTAGGTCCATTTCAATCTCCCTTCAAGTCTGGTTATGGGGCACATTCTATTTTGCTCACATTGTGGGATGATTTATGTTGGGAACGGGACATAGATCTGCTGGACGTTTTGGTGACTTTTGATAATATTAAGTATGGAATCCTTCTAAGTCATCTAAGTTTGAGGGAGGGCTATGAGGCACTTTTGTTTGGTGGTAACAGTCCTTCCCAGACAGGTGACCTAAGAAGGTGGTGTTGGGAGATTCTTGTTTGACACTCAGACTTTTGGTCTGTGGTGTCCATCAGGGTTCTGTCCCATCACCCCATGCTATTTAACATATGAACCCACTGACATTGTTTGGAATTTTGCAGGTGGGTACCACCACTATACTGATTACATCACATTCTTTTCCTCTCCTTTCCATTTAAATCCAAAGAAGCTTTCTGGTTCTAAATTGGTGCCAGATTTCAGTAATGGGCAGGATGATGGCCAACAAATCGATGCTTAATCCAGATATGACAGAAGTGCTTTTGGTCAGTTGAAGGGCAGTTCAGGGAATGAGAACTCAACCTGTGCTTGGTAGGGTTACATTCTCCTAGACTTGCAGTTTGGGTGTTCTTTTGAACTCAAGCATTGATCCTGGATAATCAGGTTTGATGATCGCCAGCAGTGCTAACACAGCACAGTTGAGGCTAATGTGACAATTCCTAGAGTTATCTGATCTGGCCATGGACATATATGTCTTGGTTATATCTAGACACCGTACTTTCCAGTAGATGCAATGCAAACTTTTTTGTGGAGTAAGATGCAGGCTGAGACCCATAGATGTGACAGGCTGATATCACATTGGGGATTTACTAATTAGGCAATTTCTGGTGGTACCCACAGCAGTTTCTCAAATTCCCACATGTGCTCATGGGTCAGAAAAGTTAGAGACCCTTTTATATGGCTTGGACGGGAAGCACATTATCTGAAAGACTGTTTTCTCCCATACAAGCCTGCCTGCGTCTTAAGATTTTCTGGAGAGGCCTTTCTTTTTAGAATTCTATCAGAGGTACTGTATGGTTGGTGGTCACCTGAGATAACCTTTTAGTAGCTGCTTTGAGGCTATGGGGTCCATTCTACAGAAGGCTACATTTGCTCCCTTTCTGCTGCCTTTCCTCTAGCAAGTGAAGACCACTTTATGTAAGAAAGCTTTTAGACTACAAGTGAATCTAGCGGGTTGAGTTTGTTTGTAATAATTTTTTTTCTGGACTTGTTATAATTTTACTGTATTTTAATATGTTATTTTAATCCATTTGAATTGTTTCTGTAAGCTTCCTTGAGTGCCATTTTTGGTAGAAAGGTGGCTACTATACATCATCCAAAGAATATTTCAGATTCAACCTTCAAAGGAGATATAGCACTCCAACCTTGGAGCTGAGAATTAGAGCTTTAACCCCTGCCCTTCACAGCGAGTATGGACAGAATCACACTGGATATTTCTCTATGGCTGGGAATGTGCGCTTCAATGGTAGGAAGTGGAGGAAACTGGAGAGGTCAGAAAACAAATTATCCTGACTCCTCTCTGAAATGTTTTCAATAGATAAGCAGAAAACCACATTTCATGAAAAGGCAAGGATTGGGGGATAAGAAGTCAAATATTGCCTTCATCACTCCTCCCACATTGGATATGTTTATTATAAGCCTCCAAGTTCGGGGACTTATAAGACTTATAGTCAACTCATACGACTGTACTCTAAATGATCTTATCCTTGAAGCCCACTGTGAACTTTAGGTTACAAAGAGGACAGGAATGATTGACAAAGATCACAAAATATTTATCCATATTCATGTTTAAATATTTAAGTTATTTCAAATAGCTTGTGAAGCTACTTGGCTGCAAAAGGCAGTTATTTCTTTGCTTAGTGGGGCAAGGATTGGGCTTCTTAGTTATAAAGCAATAATATTAGATTGTCTCTCCAATAATTTTTATTGCCTGAGCATAATACTTTATCTCACAATACCAGAATTTACTGTGCTCATTCATTTTTATTTTTGATAGAAGAGAATATCTACCTTAGATTTCTTTCAGTTTATATAGGAAAAATTTCCATTATTTTTCAGAATCTAAAGTTTAGATATATTCTGAACAAACCATGTGAACCTGCTGAGCAGCCAGTAGTTGTGATATGCTAACTGCAAAGGCTGAGTCTTTGATCTATGTCACAGAATCATGCTAGCTGGATAACTGACTGTCCTTGTGGTTGGGCTCAGGATTATATTGGCTTTTCTTGGTCCAGGCATATTACCCTGGATACTACCCATCTTTGTTCTCAGAGCACCTGGGGCTAGAGCACTCTTCGACCCTAGTACTAACCTAGCATCAGTAGTACTGCGTGTTTGTTGTAACTCTAATAAGGCTCCTCTAGTCATCTACAGTAATGCCTTAGGAGTCCCCCATACAAAAGCTGATACATCCAAAAGCTGATACAATTTGTCACATGCGAATGGGACCATATCACCTTTGTATCTTGTACACGGGAATATACCTAGGATAGTAATCATCCCCTGCCTAATCGCTTGTGGTTCACTGAAGATTCCTAAACACACATCTAACATTATTCACCTGTACATGTGGGCATTGCAAGAACAAACAATTACAGACATCTGTCTTCTAAATAAATAAATAAATCAAGACTGAGTATGTAGGTGAAGAAATCCACATCTGAAACATGTCCATCAGGAAAATCATTATCCAAAATCTAAGTAAGTTATCTTCATAGAGGAGGGCATTTCAAATTAAAAGAGCAACTAGAAAATAAGACCAAGATTTCAAATGGAAATGTAATTCATATTTAACAGAAAAGCATAGTAAAATAAGAAGAATGATTTTTTCAGTAGGGTCTTAATAAGCCTTGCTTGCAAGCAGGTTTTTAAAATGAATGTTTTGATGCCTTTATGGTTATTAAGGTAATTCCCTAGGGGAACTGCCAGCTGTTGACAGCTGGCAGAACACAAGAGATGAGCATTGATCCTCAGTCCACATAGCAAACACAGGCCATAATATTACCATATATTTAAAAGGATGAATAAATGAAAAAATCTGGAAGATAGCAAAATAATCAAAAAATTAGCAAAATAATCATTAAATTGTTATAAACTGTTCCCCTCTATATAAGTAAATGTATTAGAACTTAAAAGTGCTGTTAATTTCAGGTGATAATCAGCAACTCTTTGCTGAAATGAAGCCCATGATGATTTTTTTTCCCAAGCAAATATATTATAATTTAATGAAGCATTTCCAATATCAGTTTCTGTGAGTGATTAACAGTAATTAAACATTTAAGAGCACTCCATAGATTCCTGAAGTTGTTTGGAAACATACAGCACACACATTTTTGTATCTGTTCACACAGGCTCCAGTGCTACAGTTCATCTAAGGACAACTTCTAACTAAAACAAACCCAGACGTAAATTATCATGGCTCAGTTGAAGTCAGCAAACTAGATCCCTGCTTCTGAAGTAGCCCCAGAGAGTTTAAAGGGGCTAACTCTTCACTAACCATGGTGATAAATTTGTTTATGATGAGAGGAGACCGTGAAAATGTTGCTCTATGATCTTTGAACAAAAAGAGCGGAAAGTATGCAATTCTGTGTGAAATGCATGTCAGGGAAAGGAACTCATCACCAACCATCGGAAGGAGTGCAGATCACAAGTCTTTTTCAGCTTCTCACCTTGGACTGCTTTTTGCATTTGCCGTTGGGTTATCTCTCCTTTCAGATGGTCTGTGCAAAAGACAAAGAATAGTTGGTGAAGGAAAACTGAACATGTCAGACATCAATATTTTAATAACTTTTGATCCTTTTTACTTCCTTGCATGAACAGTCATCACAGGTACATTGCATATCCCTAAAAATAGAGCCCCCAAACACTTTTTCTTCACCTTTGCTGATTTTATTAACAGTAATGTCTGTCTTATCTACCTCAGACACCATTTTGAAATTGGAGTCCTAGGCAAGCAACACAATACTGTGATAGAAGCTTGGTGTGCTGCTGTTTGACCTTGACACTCTAAAAGCCAAGCAGAGATGAAGAAAAACTTTGAAGCACTGAATAAAAAAGCTAGTGATAGATAATTCATTCAATTTCATAGCCAGCATTTAAATAAATTTCTCACAATGCTGGAATGTCTGAAAGCCATTTGTAAATCTCTGATTTGACATAGGTTTTACAACTTCAAGTACTTTATACAGGCATACATCAACTAATGTTCAGGGAACATGCACACCATTTCCCATGACCTGTTATTGATTCTCCTACACTGATCAGTGGTTCATTCTTTGGAGTCCTAATAGGGAAATTGGGACTGATTCATATCCATGGCTCATAGTTGGTCTGGCCTTACACAGAGACTGTTTAGATGAATTGGTGCTATAGAGATAGCCCATGACACCTCGGTTTACATAGAGACATGCACAAAAAGCGAGCTAGAAGGGGACTCCCGAGCCATCTATTCTGACCCCTGGATCCAGCCAGCTTCCCTCATGTAATCCTCAACATGTAGTTGTCCAATTTTTGCTTGAGCACCCTCCCTGATGGGCCCTCCACCACCTCCCTTGGAAGCCCATTCCATATTCTAGGGATCCTAACCATCAGGAAGTACTTCCTGGCATCTAACCTGAAGCCAGGTTCCTTGAGCTCTGCCTCACTGGAACACGTCCTGCCCTCCACTGCAGGGAAGAACAGGTCACAGCCCTCCTACACATGACATCCCTTCACACACATATAAATTGCTAAAAGATCTGGGTACCTTCATATTGTACTTTATATACAGTATGGGACATGCTTACCACAATAGTGTTGAAACTATAGCTTGGTAATACCATTTTATATCAATTTTTGTAAACAGTGGAAGCCCAACTTTCGTTGCTAACTTCTTGGGAGTAATTAATGATGCATCTGAGAGTGAAGAGGACCTCGATGTTCCTATGACTCACCCACCAGAAAACAAACCTTGGCTAGAGCTTACTTTTTATTCTCTGTGTTTCATACAAATGGACTATTTCATAACAGTGTACACATGGGAATAATTTCATGAGACTCAATACATGAAGGAGGAAAAAAAAATGGAAGAAAGGAAGCCAAAATAAAGAGTGGTCTGAGATGCTGTTCTGCACATGTAAGTATAGGAGAGCCATAAGGTTTTTGCAGCTGGATTTGAGAGGTTAGTTGAAAACAAATCACTGAAATATAACTGAGTTGTTAAGAAATAGACTAGTAAACAATTCCACAGTGCAACAGCTACTGTTCTGATAATGAACCGGAAGTTCAGAAATATGGAAAGCTTAAGTGAAAACGCAACCTTAGCAAAATGTAATATATACTTCCTATTAGTTATACAGCTGATCATAATTTAGAATTGAGATAGCATATGTTCTGAAATACAGTCGATTTTTGGAAATATCATATATAATCCAGAGAATGAAAAAGTCTAAGGGTGTGGGATCAAAAGGTATTATACAAAAGAAATCTCCAGGGAAATAGTGAACCAGATCCAGTAGGGCTTCCTTAAGAATGAAAAAGGATAATTTTCAAGCATCTTATGAAATTGTGTGTACATATTTATTCTCCCACCCCCTCTCTCTGTGTATGTTTGTGTGTGTGCATGTTTCCCTCTCCATATATATACAATATATAACAAAAGACAGCAGCCATTTAAGTCTAAAGATACAATCCCACCACCAAACTTATATATTGTAAAAGCCTGCATGGCTCCAGCAGAACTTAAAAATTAGCAGACTGCAGTGGGGTGACTGCAGTGCATTTATTTAGTACCACCAGTGGTTTTCCAATACTTTTCACACTTTTTTCTCAAACCTAATATACTGATTCCTTCCTCATCCCAGTATCCTGAAACCACATGAAGTTCAAAACAGCTATACATTTATCCCATAGAGTAGGCACTGTGCAGTAATATTAGGCATGAGATAATATTAGGCTACTATAAGCAGCATTTGATCGTTACTTTGGCCCAAAACCATTTTTGAGGTGCTCCACGGAATAATATGTTGAATGTGAAGAACCAAGTTCCGCACACAGAACAGTTCTACTGCCAGTACTGCTGCTGAAGGGAGTTAGCTGCATCTACTATCTAGGCTGTGGTTCTGCACTACTTAAAAAGTAATCAACACTACTTCTGTGCCAAAATGTCCCTTGTTGAGAAGCATTAAATAAAAATGGGAAGTCAATGGGGTTTATTTTTGTATAGTGGCTGCAAATCAGACTACTACACATGCATGCGACTCCCACTGCTGACAACAAAAAATAAATATCAAATAGTTCCCCCTCACCCTGCTTTACACAGGCCAATGGAAAACCACCTCCACTGATCACTGTAACTTCAATGCATTCATGATCAGAATGATAGAACAGAAATGCTAGTGGTATATCATTCATGGCACTTCTAAACTCACTATTTTCACCCTGGCCTTAAGTTTTTTGGGAATAAATGTAATTGGATACAGGAGTACAAAATGAAGTTGGGGTAGTCCAGGACTGATTGTTCTCTATGGGCTGGATGGTATCACTGTCCCAGCCTCTGACCATTTTAGCATTTCTCTTTGCCTCACCTACCACAAAGACACTTGACTGAGGCTTTGTGGGGCACTGCATGCAACACAACACAGCATCTCTCCCTGCACCAAGACCTGTGATTTTTTCCCAGCACAGGCCAAATTCCCTGCCATCTGCATCTCTACTACTAGCTCCAGTCAGAGATAACATGGATTCCTCTGGGTCACTTCCCCTTCCAATAAACTGGCAATCGGTGATTTATCTGGGGGGATTCTTCTAGGAGGTTTTGCAGGCCAGATGGGGGAGCCTAGAAGGCTAGGTTGGGCCCAGAGGCGAAGAGTTTGGCATTCTTCATTTAGATACACCAGCTATACATAAATTCATCAGCAACCTCAAGGTAGCTTTACTACATCTTAGATTCCATGCATTATAGGAACTGGAAAATAAACCCAGAAGTTATTTCATACCAGTTGTCTCATGAAACTCAATATACTTTCTGGTTTATAATGAAGGGCAGCTGGAGCAGTAACTTGATCTAAGAGAACCAACTTCAAAGCAAGTATATCTTCTTTACTGGTTTCAGGTTATCAACTGTCTCTAAGCTTGGCTTGTCAACCTTGCTTGGGCAAGACTCACAAAGCAAAATTCTGACTTATAAGGTGATAGTTTGAAAAAGAAGTATTGTTGTCATGGTCATTGTCATAGTCCTCCTCCTCCTCCTCCTGTCTCTCTTAATTCTCCAAGGCAGTATGAGCACAAAACACTGTGATAGCCTATCAAATTTCTGAAGTCCATTATTATTATTATTATTATTATTATTATTATAACATTTCTATGCTGCCCCTTGCCGAAGCCTCGGGGCGGCTTACAACACAATAAGATACATTGAAATACAATAGAACATAATAAATTACCAATAAATACAAAAATACAAAAAATACACTGAGATACAATAATATAAAATTAAAATTAACAGTATAAAATAAGTAAATAAAGAATATAGGAGGAGGAAAGAGAAGGAAGAAGAAGTTGCCCTGGCCAGATCATATTTTTTAACAATCAAAATGATGTTTAAATAAAAAGGTCTTTACCTGGCGCCGAAAAACCAGTAACGACGGTGCCAGGCGGACCTCTTTGGGGAGTGAATTCCATAGGTTGGGCGCCACCGCAGAGAAAGCCCTCCTCCGAGTACTTACTCTCCTAATTTCTTTCATGGAGGGTTCCCGGAGAAGGGACTCTCCCGCAGATCTCAAGGGGCGGTCGGGCATATACGGACGTAAGCGCTCGTTCAGGTAGCCAGGACCCAAGCCGTTTAGGGTTTTATAGGTCATAACCAACACCTTGAATTGGGCCCGGGCTTCAATGGGAAGCCAGTGAAGCTGACAGAGGACTGGAGTCATGTGAGCATAATGCCCCATCCCCGTCAGCAACCTGGCAGCTCTATTTTGCACCAATTGAAGTGTTCGGACCGTCTTCAGGGGAAGCCCCACGTAAAGCGCGTTACAAAAGTCTAGGTGGGAAGTCACCAGCGCGTGTGTCACTGTCGCCAGGCAGTTGTACTCCAGGTAGGGGCGCAGCTGATTAATCAGCCGAAGCTGAAGGAAGGCGCTCCTCACCACCGCTGTCACCTGAGCTTCCAAAGAAAGCTCCGGGTCGAGGAGTACTCCCAAGCTGCGGACCTTGTCCCTAAGAGGGAGTGTTGCACCATTCAGGACCAGGTCAAATCCACCCTCTCCGAAGCCTGATCCGCCAACCAACAGGACCTCCGTCTTGTCTGGGTTGAGTTTCAGTTTATTGGCCCTCATCCATTCCATTACCTCGGCCAAGCACCGGTTCAGCACAGCCACTGCCTCACCTGGATTAGTGGAAACGAGAGGTAGAGCTGGGTATCCTCAGCGTATTGATGATTCCGCAGCCCACACCTCCTGATGACCTCTCCCAGCGGTTTCATATAGATGTTAAATAGCAGAGGGATCCTTAGGGATGGCTTAACAAATTCTCGTCAAGGCTGAGCCTGTACAGAAGTTGGAGTTGTATTTTATTACACCCACAGCCTATCTCATAGCACCTGTTTAATGGCTTTGTGTCTACATTTGTCCAATAAAAAGTATGTTTGGTTCAATGCCCTAGATTGGCATCATAATAATGGTAATGGTACATGGGAATTTGGAAACACAGCATGTCAAGACAGTAGCAGTCAGAAAACTTCCAT